CTGTGGATAACCCACTACTATTGTGGACTCCTGGATTGTGTTAGATTGTTTTGCTGAATTCACACACCTATAGTATTTAGATGCCAATGGAATACCCATCTCTGATTGGACTAAACCAAAACAGGGGATACAAAGGAAGGACCATTTTGTATCTTAGGATAGATATACAACTACTTTCACTTAATTCAATGAGAAGAAAGATTTGTACTAATAGTGATTAGACAGGATATTCTTGTCTTCTTCTTGTATTATGGATAACCACTGAGGAGATAACAATGTAAAATGTAATAATTATTGGAACTGTCCTAAGAGGCTGGGGAGATGGTTCAGTAGAATAAGTGCTTTCCTGGCAAGCACAAGAGCCTGAGTTCAATCCCTGGTTCTGCAAAAAAAAAAAAAAAAAAAAAAAAAAAAAGAAAAGAAACTATCCTATTAATCAGTTTTGAAAGTGTAAATAAATAAATAAATAAATAAAATTAAAAGTTCTCACAAGTTGTAAATCTTTGCTCAAAAATATGTATAACTAGAAGAAAATACATACTTGACACAGGTCTATCACCATGTGATAACATGGTACACTAGATCATGGTAAACAGAGAAAATTACATGGCTGTGTTTTAACCAAAAATGATTTTTATAGTCTTCATATTTCTTACATAAGTAAAAATTAAAGAAAAATAAAACGTATCTTAAAGAAATAGGCAAAACAAACATTGATGTTTATATGAAATTTAGAATCACTGAAAAAATGTAACACTTTAATAGGTTCAAGGTAGTACACAACAAATATCAAATATTAGCTTTTACTATAGACCTTTATCTTGACTCAGATCCCAGCACCTGTTTTCATGCTTTCTTTATATATAATTTAAATGTAACTGAATGAAGTAGCATAAAATTTCTAATACAACCAGCCTACAAAGAATAAAATAATTTTTCTAAATCATAGAATAAAGCTTTTCCAAGTTGAGAAAAAAGTAGACTAAAATATTTGTAACTTAATATCAAAATATTTCATTTTTTCTAGACTCATCCAGAGCTGTTAGAAATGAATACCAGAGCTGTTAGAAATGAGTAACACTGATGATCAAGGGCTTTTGCCATTTTTAGGAGCGTAATGAGTTCTAGAACCAAATTTCAAAGATGATCAGTCTCTTGTGCATAATTTTTTTTTAACTAATGTAAATTAATGAATAAAATGAATTAATCATTCCATAAATGAGTTAAGTAAAATATTTTGATATGTATTTCTTTTGTTTACACGAAACAATATTTTTTTTTTTGTGGAAACTTATTCTGTGAACATGATAAGCAATTTTGAAGAATGAAATAAACTGTTTTGTTTACTTTTTATTTTACATGACTTTAATATAAAGAAACTTGAGCATACAATAATGGTTTATATCTTATATGGAAATAAATAAACACAAGCTAGATTGTACTAACATTCTTTTGTAATCAAGTATTTGTGTTAGAGAAAATTCAGAAAAATAAAACCCAAGAAATGAAAACGATTTCCCATCAACCTCAGACAAATTTGAAATGTTGAAATGATTTGACCAGTGAGATACAGGTATATGTTAAAATTGCTATTGCTTATCACCTGACACCTAATAGAAAATGCACAACTGCAATGACTAAAGACAAAGTATGAATACTGTAGAAAGATACAAAATGTTTCTTCTTTCATTTCTAACTTAAATGGCTTTAAATTTCTCTTAATTTCTTAGGTTAGTTTCATGGTGATACACTTCTTGCCTCTTCAATTAAAATGCACTAATAACTACAGAACAAGTTAAAAATAAATTTTAATCTGATATACTAGTGGTTTACTCTTTGAGGCCAAGGCAGTATAGTGAAGACATTTTTGGAAAAGTAATGGTAGAAAAATAATTTTAAATTATAGAATGATAAAAGTTTTAAACTAGAATGATACTTGATGATATATTTTATAATCATCACATTTTACAGATTCGGAAACAGAAATCCAAAGATATTTTCTTCCCACATGTGTGGCACATGTTAAAACCAGCTCATAATCTTTACTCTAGCTGCATGTGCTGAAAATGGGTTGTATATTTATATAAAAGAATTTCTCTCCTCTAGTAAGAGGTACTTTATGATTTTAACCAGGGAAGAGATTAGAATTCAAACGAATACCTTTGCAGTGAACCTTTATAACTTCGCTGAATTCAAACTTAGAGGAAAATGTATAAACATGACTAAAGAGAATACTAATAAAATGGAATAAAATCTACTACCATAAATTAAAGTTTGAGGGAGAGATTATAGCTGTTTATATCAGCACCTTTCCCCTTACCACTATCTGCTTCCTTTCTCTGTATCTCTTAATAGGAGCATTGATGTCATCTACCTACAGAGTGAATGCAGGTAATTGAGCTAAAGGAGGGGAAGGAGTTAAGATTTACATTCCTTATCCTCTACATAGTTTTTTTTCCCATAATTTTATTGATAAACAAATAGCAATGAGACAGTTTCAATAATTAACACATTGCATACATTCTTCCTACTGGTTAATTGCTGTACAAGATGCGGACATGATATCCTATTTACAAACACCGTTAGATCAAATCACTCTATTCATTAAGAGAATGTAACTATATAACTATCCTAACCACTTTGAATACACAGATACAAAATGGACATTCATCTGTATATCTTTTTTTGTTAAGTTCCATTATTTGAATATTATAGGTGTGTAAACTCAGCAAAATATTCTAGAAGAGTTCAGTAGCCCATAACAGTATTGGGTCTTCCGCTTGACTGGCAATGTCAGAAATTGTTGACCTGAGTCCCCCACAGCTCAACATAAGAGCATGGCTTTACTTCTTGTATTTTGTTTTTATACTTTTCTACTGGATGGTTAAGACCAAGGTAAAGCAGGACCTATGCAACAAGAGTTGTAGCTTTTGGGTCTGATAAGGTCAGTGAAATGCCCTCAGGATTTATCCTGAGATCCTGTACCTCACCTTGTAGAACCTTTGTCAGTGTCAGCCATGTGGATGAGTCATGGCCATTGCTTGGCCAGTGTGCTCTCTGTGAAAACCTGAGAGAATATTTTCTCTCCATGTGACTCTCCTTAGGCACACTCTACATCATCAATCACTTTCCCCTTTGGCCCCATAATCTCCTTGATCAGAAAATTTGGGACACTACCGAGTTACATGATGTTACAGTACAAGTTCTCATATGTCCTGAGTCTTAATTGACCTTAGAAGGTTAGGGTCAAAATGTTGGCTTTCCTTGCAGCCCTTCTTCTTCTCTAATGTTGGTCTGCAAACTTAGGTTGTTAACCATCCAGAAGACAAGCTTATTGTTATTACCATACAACTTAGGCTGTTAAGCTTAACCTCACTATCTGTCTGCATATCAAACATCTTAAGCATAATATGGAACAGGTATTTTTCATCAAGTATTGATACGTTGAACTTTAAGTCCCTACAGAATATGATAAAAATCATTTAAAAATTAGAATATATTTTAAAAATAGGCATAAAGAAATATATACTTCTTATGTTTACACATAAGTTCAAAAATCTAACCATATACAACCTTGAAGCAGGACAGTCCCACAATATTCCTTTTCCTGTCTCTTGCTTTCATTCACCACCCCCTTCTTTTTGAACAACGATCTACCCAAGAAACAGCATAGCAGCAACTGGCATGTCATGACAAGCAGCCCGTATTCAGAAGACCAGAATGACAGGCACTCCAAGCATGAAACTACTATTATAGATTACCATCTGCAGTGCAGGCACTTCTAAGTATACCGTCAAAACAGCTCTCTGATATGCAAACATAAATCCTTGAATTATATAACTTGCTATACCACCCCAGGACCATCCTATCTCCAGTGCTCCTGCAGTATATATTATTACATCATAAGCACATGGTAAATGAGAATATGTTTGAAGAGGGGCAGTAGTGGCTAGTAAATCGTTTAATAGTACATAATGTTTATGTTCCTTGTGTGGAGTTGGTACACAGACAAAACACATCTTAATTCCTTTTGCTTCCCCTTTCCCTCCCCACTTCCCCCTGCACCCATCATTTGATTCCCTTCCTTTTTTTTGTTTTTGTTTGTATATTTATAGTCCATAGTATTTGCACTACTTGTGTAGAGTTGCTATATGTATTTGCTTAACAAATAGAGTAAAAAAGCCGATTGATAACACTTGCTAATATCTGTATATCTTGTTATTTGATCTTGTTACTTAACAGCTTGTACTTATTAAAGCTGAGCATCTGTTTACCTTCTTAGTTTAAAAAGCTTCAGAGGACGTTTCATTTCATAATATAGAAGTCTTTATGTTATAAGGAAAATATGAACAGGGTGCAAGAAGAGTCTGTTAGCCAATGCCATTAATAAAAGTTTTGTTTTATAAAATGGAGTAAATCATCTCACTTTATAAATACATTTTTTGGGTTATATTTTATGCCATTGTGGCAAGATGAATAGATCAGAAGAAAACCAAAGCAAATCACTTCATATTCTAAGGTTTTCCTTTTTAATCTGAAGAGCTACATTAACAAGGAAAATGCATCTATGGGCCAATAATATAAAAAGGTATGCTTCCCAAACACTGGAAATTGCTAAGCATTTTTGTTGCCAAGAGAGTACCTGTTTCACTCAATTAAACCTCCATGCATTTCAAGCATTTATTCAAGTATGATTCAGCTATGGGATATGAACTTTACATATTCTGTGGAGTGAAGAAGGCTTGACTGGTCTGCCAGCTATTTTTTTTTTGTTTTGTGTGGCCAGCTCAGCCCACACTGTGGGTTGGGCTGGCTGCGCATGTGGTGCTGGGGATTGAACCAGGACCCCTGAGTGCTTGCCTAAGCAGGCACTTTAGACCACTGAGCTATCTTGCTGGCCCTGTCAACTGTTTTTTGTTTTATCAATTTCGAAGCTATGGGAATAAAACTTTTAATACAGTAGTAATTAATAGCATTGCAGTACATTTGAAGGCTCTTACCTGTACATTTGTAATCAGAGGCTACTCCTTTAAGCACAGCATCAAAAATGGATATTTCCACTCGCTGCTTTCTGTGGTGACAACTCAGAAGCAGGGAAGGCTGGGACACAATGAAATAAAGAAATGGTTCTAGCTGTGAGTCACCTGTTCCTCTTCGACCAGGCTGCCGAACGATAGTTATGCCAAGTGCTTGTCTTGCAGATGACCTCTTGGATGCATGAAGACTTTCAAGAGATAGAACTCCTATTTTTCTCCCTGCTGTCAAAGATGTGCCACTGCTCAAGAGATTTTCTGCTGTCACTGTAGAAATACATGGCTGATTGGTCTTAGCAACACATGAATCAACTTCTGAGAGATTTAATGAACTCTTATCTGTTTTTTCATCTTCTTTCTGTTCTTGTGATTTCAATTTAGGCAAGGCCATAGACGAATAAGTCATTAGAGAGATTCTACTTGCAGTAATAAATATGTCAAAGGGAATAAAATTTAGATTCTTTACAATTGACGACTGGTGAGAGGGACGGGCAATACGGTGCTGACTGGCACCACTCTGCTGTTCTATTTGCACTATTCTGATTTTAACGCTGTCACTGCCAATTCCACTATCCTGAGCACCACTGTATCGAGACGAGGTTTCGGCCACACCTCCATCAAATGTATCCACTTTTTTCAGTTCTTGTTTAGAGCTCTGTAGGAAAAATATAAAACAATAACAAGTGTTGGTATACAAAAAATGTATATGTATTTAAGAGAATACATAAAAAATAAGCCTACTATAACCTGGCTGTCATAAAAAATTAGGTAGGTGCTCATTTAAAACAAAAATTAATGGCAGGAAATACTTGAGAGAAGCATCAACTGTATATTTCATTAAAATATACTTTGAGGATCAGACCGAAGGTTTTAAAAAACATGCTTGAAATAAATATTTTAACTGCATTCTGTACAGTGATTTTCAAAGTAACACAATAAACTGTTTCTAAATCATGTTCAATATGGATTGCAATTATATTTTATCTATTTGCAGCTTATATTGTTTTCCCTTGCTAAAAACTGATTATGGATTTTTGAATAGTAAGAAAATGAGGAAAATGTCTGCAGTCCTAAATTATGAGGAACAAAGGACAGTAAACTAAAATATACATGCTTTCCATAAGAAGGTAGTTATTTTCCCCACCTATAAAAGAATTTGGAAGAAAGGTAAATATAACTGATCAAATACAATTAGTCAGTAACCAAAGCCTCTCAAGGTAGATTTTTCCTTTGGGCACTAAAGGCTACTAGTTCTCGCTGTTTCCTGGACTCCCTGAACACAGAAAAAGGAAAAACTGGGTGGCAGTACGAATTTTGTTAGCATCACTTTGGCAATATGACTTTAAATACTTCTTTCTCAGATCTCCAAAACATCTATTTAGCACCTAGAAATTTCACTAGCTTTACCTTAGAAGTACTTCAGAATCAGTGTAACCATGAAAAATCTACAGAACTATAAAGAACAAATAAAAAATTCTATCCACTTCCACCTTTTTTCCTTGTATTTATTTTAAAGAGAATAATGAAGTTATAAAAAGGACACAAAATTTCAAAACAAGATGATAGGAAATTAACAATGACTAGTACATTGCATATTGTAATCTTCAAAGTAGTTGTGCAGGTTACCAGACATAGGCATGTGAGATTGGTCAAACAACATAAACACTAACTGTTCCTTTCAATGAACTAAGAGAAATTAGTACAATTATTTTAGCTGTCATGTGTGTGTCCAGTTGTGTGTGCGTGTGTGTGTGTGTGTGTGTGTGTGTGTGTGTGTCTGTGGGGGCATATATATTTCCTCCTTTTCTCCTTTCCCTCACTCCAAGTATTCTGTTTTGAGCTGTTTCTTTTCTTAATTTTAAATTAATAAACAAATTAATTTATTTATTTGGTACAGAGTCTCACACTCATAGTGCTCCTTCTGTCTCAGCCTCCCCAGCACTGGGATTACGGGTAGCACCACCATGCCCTGTTTTGGTGGCCAACACGGCATGTATGACATGTAGTATTGGGGCTCAAACCTGGGTCCTTGAACTTGCCAGGCAGGCACTTAGATCTCTGAGCTATCTCCCCAGCTTCTTCAGCCATTTCTTTCTCTCAGAATGTCTACTGTACCTTTTGGATCTTATTTATTCTTTCATTTTCTTACACTGGAAGACTATGATGTTCACACAGGCGAGTCTGATTTATTTCACTCACACATATGATCTAGTTGGATCTTTTTTCAAAATAAATTTAGTACAGGGTCTATAGGGCTTTACTACATAGATGGGACTCTTTAGTGATCCTCCTGTTTTCAGCCTCCCAAGCTCTGGGCTTATAGGCATGAGTCACCATGCCTTGTCTCAATCGCCATCTCAGTGTGTCCCAGAAGTGGGGCTGGCATGGCAGGACGGGGATCGAACCCTGGGCCCTGTGTCTGCCTAAGCAGGCACTTTAATATACTGAGCTATCTGGCCAACTAGATCTGGCCCTGATCTAGTTGGATCTTATTAACAAATACAACTAAGCAGTAATGCTCCTTTAGTCATTTCCCCCTTCCTAGCAGCCCTTGGTATAGACACAAATTTGTAGCTCAAACTTTTGACATGTTATTATACTCTTCACTTAGTTTAAGGAATGATTCTGAACCATTCTCATATAATTGGACATAAAAATTTCATGTTTTTCCAACAAACACTTATGAAAACCATATAGCACTATAGTATTTCTTTAGGACAGGCTCTAGGTAAATGTTATAAAAGAATTTTTAAAGAGAATACAAAAATACTAAACAAAAAAAAAACCTATTAGAAAAGTACAGAATTTCACTAAACAAAATGATAGGAATTCAACAATGGTTGTTATACATTGCATATTGTTGTCTTCAAATTATTTGTTCAGATCACCAGATAAAAGTGTGCAAAATAATTATAAAGAATTAAAAAGGGGGGCTGGTGAGATGGCTCAGTGGTCTAAAGCACCTACTTACAACAAGCTTAGCAAAGCACAGGGACCACAGTTCAATCCCCCAGCACCACATGCCAGCCAGCCCGCCCCCTGGTGGGCTGAGCTGGTCACACACACACACACACACACACACACACACACACACACACACAAATAAAATTAAAAAAAAAGAATTAAAAAGGAAAAAAGCATTATCGTGCCTTTCAATAGACCAACAGAAATGAACAGTACAATTATTGAAGCTATCCTGCATAATATACATATATATTTTTTCCCTTACTTTTTTCTTTCTTTTCTTCTTTCCCTGATTTGCAGTTGTTTCTTCCTTTAAACAGTTTCTTTCCCTTTCAGAGTATCCACTGTACCTTTCAGATTTTATTTATTCTTTCAGGTTCTCACATTAGTGAGACAATATGATGTTTATACATATTTCACTTACAAGTATTGCATCTAGTTGCATCCATTTACCTATAAAAATCTTGAGTTTATTTTTCTTTACAGTTTGCTAATATTCCATTGCATACAAATAACATATCTCTTTTTTTTTTTTTGCATTTTAGGGAAGGGTCTACAGGGTATTCAGGGTCTCACTACTAGATAGGAGTCATAGTGATTCTTCTGTTTACAGCCTCCCAAGTGCTGGGATTACAGGTATGTGCCATCATGCCCGGTCTCAATGGCTGCCTCAGCATGCCACAGGGACAGGGCCAGCATGGTAGGCCCTGGGATTCACGGTAGGCCTTGACCCCTGCGCCTGCTTGCAGGCATTTTAATCTGCTGAGCTACTTGGCCAGTTCTACCACATCATTTTATCCATTCCTCAGTTGATGGGCATTAGGGTTGTTTACCATGTTCCAATAAAAATGGGGTACATATCACTGTGGTATGATGTTTTTCAGTTCTTTTAGGAAAATATAGGGCTAGCCAAATAGCTCAGAGGATTAAAGGGCCTGCAAGCAGGCTCAGGGACTGGGGGTTCGATCCCTGGGCCTACCTTGCTGGCCCTGCCCTCAGGGTGCACTGAGATGGCAATTGAGACTAAGCAAGGTAGCAAATTCCAGCACTTGGGAGGCTGTAAACAGGCAGATCACTATAAGTCTGATCTAGTAGTGAGACACTGAACACCCTGTAGACCCTTCCCTAAAATACAAAAAAAGAAAAATATGCAGAAGGGGAATGGCTGACTTGAATGGGGCTTCCAATCCTAGATTTTTGAGGAAACTTCACACTGATTTCCACTATAGTTGTATCACTCAACACTCCCACCAACAGTGGAGAAGGGTTCCTTCTCCCCACAGCCCCTCCAGTTTTTTTTTTTTTTTTCGGAACCGGGGATTGAACTCAGGCCCTTGCGCTTGTCTGGCAAGCACTTATTCCACTGAGCCATCTCCCCACCCTTCCCTCCAGCATTTGTTATTGGTTAACTTCTTGATGACAGCTATTCTTTCTGGGATGAGATGGAATTTCAAGTGTTGCTTTAATTTGCATTTCTCGAATGACCAATGATGTTGAACATTTTTTCATATATTAATTTGCCATTTGTATTTCTTCATCTGAAAAGTGTATATTCATTTCAGATTCTCATATTTGGATTGGGTCTTTGAGTTTTGGGGACCTCAATTTTTAAAAATTCTTTATATGTTCTAGAGGGAAGTCCACTGTGTGAGTGATAGCTAAATTTTTTTCACCAATTTGTAGGTTTTCTTTTTACTCTGTTGGTGATTTCCTCGGATGTGCAAAAACTTTTCAATAAGACAATATCCCAGTTGATTCTTTAAAGTATTTTCTGTGCAGCTTGGTTTTTGTTCACGAGCTCTTTGCCTACCCGTTTTCAAGATTTCTACCTACTTTCTCTTCCAATAGATTTAGTGTTTCCATTTTTAATATTTACATTTCTGATCCATTTTGACTGTAGTTTAGTGTACAGTGATAAATACGGGGCTAATTTTAGCCTTTGGCATGTGGAAAGCCAATTTTTCCAGCACCATTTATTAAAGAGGCTATGTTTCTTCCAGTGAACATGCTTGGTCTTTTTGTCAAAGATAAGGTGACTGAGTGTGTTTCTAGTTGTGTCTGTATCTTTTCATTGTTCCACTGTTCCTCAGGTCTGGCATTGTTTTTTGTTTTTTGTTTTCACCAATACCATGCTGATTTTATCATAGTATCTTTGTTGTATAATTTCATGTCTGGGATTATGATGTCTCCTGCCTTTCCTTTGTTGCTCAGGATTGCTGTTGCTATTCTAGGTCTCTTTTGGTTCCAGATGAATTTTAAGAATCTTTTCTCTGTATCTGTGAGGTATACTAATGATATTTTAATTGTGATTGGACTGAATCTGTGTAACAATTTTGGGAGTAGGGCCATTTTCACAATGTTCACTCTTCCTATCTAAGAGCAAGGAATATCTTTGCATGTTCTGAAATTCTCTTTGATTCCTTTATCATCACTAATGATCCACTAGCAAATTTTTTTTCCTGTCCTCATGAACTTATGTTTTGCTGGACTAGAATTCCTAGTCCTGGGGAGGGAAGGGGTAAGTCGTATACCAAAAAGCATAGCAATGATACCATTAAAGCGGAAGCTAAGATTTCCCCCTGGTCACTTTGGTCTCCTCATGCCTCTGAGAAAATAAGCTAAAAGGAAAATCACAGTGTTGTTGGGGTGACTGACCCAAACAATCAAAAAACAAAATCAAACAAAAAAATT